AACTCTAAAACGACAACTAGGACCGTGGAGGAGGTTATCAAGAGAGCTAACGACACGAAGTACGGATTGGCGGCCGGGATTATGACGAACAACCTCAACATTGCCAACACGGTTTCAAGATCCTTACGGGCCGGCACGATTTGGATCAACTGTTATTTTGCGTTCGATAGCGATTTGCCGCTCGGAGGGTTTAAAATGAGTGGCTTTGGCAAGGACTTGGGGATGGAAGCACTTCACAAGTATCTTCAAGTTAAATCAATTGCTACTCCAATATTTAGTTCTCCTTGGTTATGAAGTGATCATGTGTTGTTTAAATGGTTTGTCAAAGGTTTGTTTGAGGATATATGAAAGTTTTGTGTTGTGAAGTTAGTTATCTTTTACTGAAAAGTGAATGCAGCAGTTTGTATGTGTGTGTATGTGGCAAGTAATAATAAATGGGGTTTGTGTGTTAGGCTTCTGCATGCTATAATTGAAATACAAAAAGTGTTGCTTCCCTAATTTTGATCCTATTAGTCATGTTTTTTAAATAAAGATGCATATTTTGATATGGGGTATCATAATTTTTAAAATGATATTATAGATAAATACTTTTACCTTTCTCTAAGTATGAACCATCTATTCTGGTACATAGACTCAACCATAGATATACCATTTTAGAAATATATAGCTAGAATCTTTGTTTTCTCAATAGACAATGACATTTGAGAATTGTAGTATCCTATATGTGATTTATAGTTTCTAAATTTTAAATTGAATTATTTCTCTATAGTAATAAAAAACAATAACAAAGTTCTTTGTAGTTTATACTAAATGAAAATGATAAGGAAGTCCAATTTTGTAGGTGGGAGTAATTTAGCAATATGTAACAATTCTAACTATAAAATTACAAGGTAAAAAGTATTGTAAAGAGAAAAAGCACCAATGTGGTACTAATAGAGCAAGATTTAATTCAAGTTATATAAATGGTGTAAATAAGCGGAGTCGAGCTCAAACTCTTAAACTTTTAGTATTCGAGCTCGAGTATCTATGGAGGCTCGAATCATCTATAAAACGAATTAATAAAAGAGTTCAAGGCTTAACGAGCTGAATTCGAGGTTTAATGAATCAGAGCTCTAGAAATAACATAAAAATTCATTCTTTTGATCTAGCGCTAGGATTGCAAACGAGCCGAGTCGAGTCGAGCATGACCTTATCGAGCAGGATTGATTTTTTTTCGAAATCAAAATGCTCGAGCTCGGCTAGAGTTCAACTCAAAATTTTTAAGTGAAAAAATAAAATTACCATTAAGCACATATGTTAAACTATTGCAATATATATAAGGGATATTTAAGTAATTCAATATATATCTCGAGCCACTCGAAAAGTCGCTCAACAATGCAAAATATGGGCTCGAGTTGAGTCCATATTGTGCTCGAGATCTTGTGCATTTTTTTGCTATGTTCGTTTGCAGCCGTACACAAGATGCACAAAGGGGCAAAAAGCAAAAAGACCCCTTCACCACTTTTTTTCCGAACCAACGGTAAACTTCATTATTTGCCCATTTGAATAAATACAGTCACCTTTCAAGCGCAGACCAGAAAAAAACGAAAAATGGAGAAAGACTGCAAAATGACGAAGCACAAGAAAGAGAAGCAGAACACTATTAGCCGCCGATTGCAAGATATCAACGGCGGGTCACTAGTTGCACAAAAGCCCAGAACCAAAAAACCCTCAAATTTTTCATCCTTTTCATCGCATTCTTCCTCAGCTGCTCCCAATCCTCGTCAAGCTCCAAAATTCTGTTCGAAAAAATCTTCTCTCTCCTCAAAAACCTCTAACTCACCATCTTCTTCACGAGCCCAGATTCAGAAAAATCCGAGCACGAACTCTTACAGAACATCAAATTCATCAAAGCTGCTCTCCAAATCCAAAGAAAACGAGATGCCCAGAAAACCCTTTTCACAAATATCCAAAAGGGACGCACCCCAGAGCCAAAATCTTAAAAGCATTGCTAAACCCATTTGCAAAAATGGTCGAAGATCGAAGCTTGCACCTGTTGAGAGCCAAAAATCGAACAAATTTGAAAAGGGGCCTGCAAAATTTCAGTTGAAGTTGAACAAGAACTCGCACAACAATGGTCCAACTTCAGGTAATACAGCTAGCAATCCTAGTTCGGGTGAAAATCGTAGTCCCGTGGCAAAATCCTCTTTAAATCCTGTGATGGTAAATTTTTCTTTGAATGAGGTAGATCAAGAGAATGATAGTAGTTGCACTGCCGTAAAAACGCCTCCTGTTGAGGCATCACTCTCTCCCGAGATCCAAACTCAGTCACGTTCTAAGATTCCGGTTTCGAAAATGGAGGTGAAGACCCCCATTTGTTACGGTGCCGGCCATCTGGTCTCGGGTGTTACCGACAGGAGAAAGTGCAGGCGAAGGGGCAGCCTTAAAGGTTTTGAAAAAGCTAACCTTTTTCAAGAAAATGGTGATTTGATCAACGGCTCGTGTGATTTCTCGATTCCTTTGCCTGCGGAGGCTTCGGTTAGGTGGGTCTTATCCCCATGTGATGAGGAGAATAGGGATTTCAATCGTGCTTCGGGTGAAAAATCATCTGATGATTTAGTGTGTGCTGATATTGGTGATTATTCTGCACTATCAATTTCTTCTCTGAGTGGTGGAAATATCATCCGAACACCGAATTCTGACTCGGACTCGTACTTGGACAAGCACGATGGACTTGTTAGGTCTGAAAGGGGTGCTGAAACTAAATCTTTGAATGGAGAAAGTGCAGTTAATAGTGTTTCTTCTTCTTGGGTGTCGAGTACTGCATTAGATACTTTGGCATTGTCCCGGATGAAAATTTCGTGGCGAGATGGGCTTACAGACAAGATTCTCGAAAATGATGAATTTGATAGCTGTTGCTTGTTGTCGGATGAGGAGGGCGATGGGTTTTGTAGTGAAAAGAAGCGAGTATTGTGTCAAGGCAATGAAGGAAAGGAATCGGATGATAATAAAGACAATGGTTTTAGGATGGAAAATGGCTTGTGTCCGGTTTTTCTTGACTATGAACCTCAAATTTGTGGCAGAGGGAAAGGAAAATCATCGTCAAATGGGGTTAACGTGTGTGTTGCGGAGTCTTTTTTGACTGATGGGGGTGGCTTAGCTGCTTCTAGTGATTCGGAGTGGAGTTACTGTCGTGAAAATCACTTGTTTCAGGTAAAAAAATAGTTACTCCTTAGCAGCTATTTTTACTTCTTGGACAAAGAGCTCCACTTTTTTATGATTACTTGACTGGGATTGGTTGTGGTGGATTTTGGGTGAGTATTGGTATATTTTTTACGGCTTGTTCTTGTTGAGATCAGTTTTTGTGAGAAGTTCCAGTAATTCTTGCATGATTTTATGGAGTACTCTCCTCTTTACTTAATCTTTGACTTGTGACAAAAGCTGGATTATAGCTGATTAGGTTCATTATCTGATGAAAAACACATGTAGGAATCGAGTTGAATTTCCAAACGAAGTTCAAATTGAATTGTCATTTTTCGGTTCATGTCTGATGAAAAAAACTATCTTATTTTGCTTGAACCGAACTTGAGGTAGGCCTGAGCAATACAAAACTGAATGCATATGCGCGCACAAATAGTGCAGCAAGCGGATGAACTTTTTACTGTTTTCATCCTCGATTTCTGGGATCAATTTAAAGTGTCAAAGTACACAGTTAGCTGGTTTTCTGAGTAGTGATGATAATAACACTTATGATTGTTGAATCTCTAGTATTTGTTGGCTTTCTTTCAGTGCTGTGAATTAACAAAGTTTCCAGTTCCATGTTGTTCTCGTCCTTTTTATTCCTATTTCTGTGCTTTTTTTTTTTTTGANTATGTGGTAGTTCCAACTCATCCCATTCTACCTTTACTTGAAGAAAACAAAAACCTTCCAACAATAAAAAGGTTTAGTTGTGTACAAAAACAAAAAAAACTAAGATCAATTTCCCACCAAACCCATACAAAAACCAAAGTCAAAACAAATCCTCTTTCCCCCCTCCTAACACCAAAACCTCAACAAAAAAGACTTAAAAGAAGAAAAAACAAAGAAAAAATTTGAGGAAAAAAAAAAGATGAAAATGGAAGGCCTAATTCCAATGGCTTACAAATCCCTCAAGAAGAACCAAGAACGACGAAGCTACGAATGCATCTCATCCGAAGCTGCACAAACCTACAAAATCGAAGATTTCTACACAAAAGAAGAAGTTGATGAAGAATATCATCACTTCAAGCCGAAGACCGATAACAAAACGGGCTCACACGGGTCGTCTCGGGAGTTTGTAGGTCGTTTTGGGAGTTTTTCCGGGGAGGACGAAGTCTTTAAGCCTAAGCAGCTTGTGAGGTTTAAGAGCCACAAAATATTCTCATGTTTAAATGGTGCATGAAGCTGTAATTCTCAAGTTCTTGGCATGAATGTGCTGTGATATTACACTTGTTTTAAGGGACCAAAGTGCTTCCCTATCAAGATTATTTCAGTATTATTATTTTATATCTTTAAATGTTTCCAAAAGTTCTTCAAGATGCTTTATGTTTTAGAAAAAAAAAATAATAATTTTATTTTTCTTCATGTTTTCTGGATCAATAGTTAATATAAGTCATGATATGAATTTCAAAAAAATATGCCTAGCAATAACCGATATGAATTTCAAGCGCGCAAAATTTGCTAAAAAAATGTAAAATCAACCCTCTAACTGTAAGTGGCAAAAGATACTCATGAAGACATGAACTCACGTGTTTGAGCATAATATTCACAATTTGATTAGTTAATGGATGTTTTCTGCAATCACAAAATTTTTAGGCAAAAATAATGTCTGCTCTAAGTTACTGGACATATTTCACAATTTTATAATAAAATGTCATTATGTTGTCATTAGTCTTCAAACTAACACAAAAACCTAACATAGAACAGTGCCGTCAAAACCGTTGACTATGGGCTTTGAACGGGCCCGTGGTTATACCTGGGCCGGTTTAGGCTCACACAAAATTAAATTTCGTAAACTGTTGGTTCTGGTTCCAGTTCAAATTGAAATCGGCCTGACGAACTGTGTTATTATTATTACTATTTATTAATCAAAATATCAAATTAGACAAAAAAAAAAAAAAAATNAAAAAAAAAAAAAAAATTTGAACCGCCGAGTCAGGCCCAAAACCATAAGCGAAAAAGATTGAATCTAGACTGTTGGATCAATTAGAGGTTGGAGATCCAACAATCCATTTTTTTTTTTATTTTAAAAAGGTCTAAACTGGCTTGGTCGGTTCTGAACTGGAAACTGCTGGCTCAATGAACCGACCGAGAACTGGGTTTTGGTCAAGTCTAACCTCATAAATGCATGTTGACTACATACATATATTTCACCACGTGATGTTGAAAAAGAAACACTGTTATTAAATTATATAATCCCCACCACAATAATTATTCCTAAAACAAATGTATCTAATTAATTGACAGTTGACAATGATAAAAATAAATTTAAGCTAAATAATGTTCATGAACAGCATGACAAATTATGAATTTTATATATTAGAGTGTTGTTACAACTTACAGAATTGAGGAAAAAACACAAGACTTTGTAGCCTTCACTTACATATACGTATACATGTTCTTCCTCCTTAATCAATTACCATACTAATCATAATGTCTTCTTCATTTATTTGCTTAATTACATGACAATTACAAGTTTTTCAGATAGTCATTTTGTTATTCAAGACATGTTTTCTCACGCCCGGGATATGAATGTCGACAAAGTACTTTCTCCAGTCGATTTTCGTTGCATCGATTTCGAACTTATCTTGCTCCTCTTTCGACATCTCGTCTAGTAACTTCCGGGTGTTTCCAGTGTGGAACCTAACACAAAAAAATTGAACTATCAAACATGTCGCGCAATGTTATTTACTATATTAATAAACCATATGAATTTATGTTTTGCTAACATTTTTAGTTCCACTTCAAAGTTGAACTTATTTGAAGTCACAAATGTTGCAGTTAACTTAGGTTGCTTAATGGTTACAAAACAAATTTATGTTATGAAATATAGTACTTTTTTTATATTATATTTCAAAATATGACACTTGAGCATAAAAGCATATATGTGTTGGAAGAGTATGGACTGAACAACCATTAAACAGCCTAACAAAAAACCTACCGATAATTTGAATTACGAATTTATGTGTTGTTTGAAGCTAAAATGTACCTGGCTTTGAAGAATCCTATGAACTCGTACAATTTGCACAACTGCTCGGCATAAGCGACCTTCGCTTTGTACAATTTTCGGATCTTTTGAACCGCGTTTCCATTTGTTTCATCTGCAACATTCTTCAATCCGGTGCGTTCGGATATCACATCCCGAACGTATTTAGAGAAATCGTTAAAATCATTGAACAACTCCATTTTCGGAAAGTCTCCCGAGCAAGTCAATGGGTTTGCGGTAAAGTGTTCGTGGATGTGTTCGAAGAAATTCGAAAATTTCAGGGGATTCACAAAGTCGGTCGCCACATGGTAAACGTCTAATCGTGGCTTATTTATGCTTCCGTGTTTCGCAATAGCTGCAAGCGTTGTATTAGCCACAATGTCAACTGGAACCTGTAAAATAACTCACATAAAAAAAGGAACATAAGCAAAGTGATTACATAATGTTTATTCTAACTTATGATGAAGAAAATTTTGTGTACTTACAATGTCCACGTGTGCGTTGGGATCGGCCAAATAAGCCGGAAGTAGTCCTTTGCCGTAAGAAATAATGACCGGATCGAACATTCTTGTTATAGTAAAAATGAATCCGTACTTAGGTTGTAATAAATGCAAGAAAATTATGTAATTAAGTGCGACAAAATTGAATAAACGTAGAATTTGTACCTATTTCCTTGTATCCACCCAGGGAAAGGTTGTTCGTAGCTACTCTCGATAACGGTTGGTCTTATGATAAGCACGGGCACGTTTTCTCTTATTTCGTTAAGGACCATTTCGCCCATGGCCTTAGTCGAATGATATGGATTATACCATCCGTAGAATGCAGCTCTGTATATATATAGGTTTATGATCTTATAATTAAACAATGAGCTAGCTACAAAACTAGATTATGCACACATAATTAAGCAAGAAATATACTATAGATGGACAATAACTTGTCCCAAATTAAGATATTGTCTGATTGAAGTATGACATTTTATAGAACAAATATGAATATGGATTTTTCGTAAAAAGTATAGTACTGTCTAACGGTTAGACAACTTGACGGCAGCGTTTGTGCAAAGGATAACATAGAAAGAAAAGGACTATTACCTCTCAAGACCAAGCCTTTTTAGTTCTTTTGTTGCGTCGAATTCAGTGGAGCCCACGCACGATTTCATAACGAGGTTCATCTCGTCGGTTAAATCTATTCCCCAATTAGATGAAGACGTCGCGAAGTCTTCTTCGTTTCTCCCATTTCCTCCCATAACCAACGGCTTCTCGTAGATTATGCCTTCTTTTCTTCCATTGACATATGCTATATACATTTGATCATATAAAAAATACTTGTTATTAATCTACTTTTTTCGATAAGCCAAAGACTCTCGATGCATGCATTTTTTGGATCACGTACCGGTCGAGATGTGCACGAAAAGCTTGAGATTCTTGCATTTCTTAGCGAACCTCATTAGCCGTTGTGGGGCGCTCACATTTGCATCGATCAATGAATCGTACCTATACATAATTATATATATGTATATGACCCAAACGAGTTACGTAAGATATTACGACACAAATTTATTCATTATTCTTGAAAAACACGAACCGAACAAGAACCTGTCGTGTAAGGTCGTGCTTGCTGCAGATCCCACTATGACATCTACTTCATCCATGACAACACCGGAAGAATAAGCATCCATTCCGAGATTCGGTTGACAAACATTTCCAACGACCGGAACCAACTTCTCGCGTGCGAATTCTTCAAATCCGCTTCCGTATTCTTTCCGTAAGCATTCGAAAAGTTCGGATTGGATAATCTAAGATGAACAAAATTAACAAACTAAACATTGTGTTTACAAATTCACTATGATTAGTTGGTCTGATTTAATTAATTAATATGAGTTCATTACATCTTTTGATAATCGATCGAGCGCGCTCTCCTTATCGTTTGCCTTCACGAGTAAGTAAATTTTACGTACCGATGTCGACCTCAATAATTTTTCGACCAAGACTGCAAAAGATGATGGGATATATCATATATGTAGATTTAGAATATTGAAATAACAACAACAATAACAATAAATCGGTGCATGCATGCAATTCTATATGAATGGATTTTATACATAATATTGAAAAATATCATCATGCACGATTGTTCGTAACAAGACATCGTATAAATATAATACATCTTATATATAGCGAAAAATTCAAAAAAATTCCGAATAGAATATGTATTTAACTATTTATATATATACCTTTTCCGACAAGGCCAGTGGCACCAGTAACAAAAATATTCTTCCCTTGGAAAAACTCGTCGATCCCAATTCCTGCTCGATTGCCGCTAGATTCTGCATTTAGCGGCAATTCGGCTTCGAGAGGGTGTGAGGGAGATGTGAAATAGGCATAGCCATTATAGTTGACCCCTAATTTCCAACTACTATCTCTCAATCTTTTGGTCAACTTGTTATTTTCACAAGTATTGCCAAAAAATGGAATTTTGTTAGGCTTTTGGGAATGATAATGTTTATGTGAAAACAACTTCACTTGTGGGATGCAAATTGTACTAATTTGAGCTGTTGACATTTTTGTTTGGACTTTTAATTGGCAGCTGGTGAGTGTGTTGAGAAGTTGTGATTAGCTCTAGTTGCATACGGGCTATTTATAGCGAAAAAAATAGGAAATTGGCCACTTGCTATACCTATATGATTTTATTTCTTTTTTGTTTTATTTCAAAATTAAAACAAAATGTGTAAATTTAGTCAATATAGTCGCTTTTTCATAGGAGGTTCCTCAAGTAAGAACGTCATTGGAAATAGTTTAACAATCGATTAGTTGGATTATTTAATAACAGTACAATGATTTGTAAAACTTACAAACGGATCAATTTAATTAATGATGGTCCTTTTTGGGAAATTCAAAATATTGGGATGCATGCAATAAATTTTTCAAATGTATTTATGTCTATAAATTATAATCAATTTTTTTGCTCAAAACTATTCTCGAATTTACAGAGTTTAAAATTTATGAAACACTTATATACTAATTGAATTCTAATATAATTGTCTGCTTTTAATACATTCATAAAGCTACGAGGCTAATTTTTTTTTTATTTTTTTTTTTCATACATGTGAATTATTGGTAGCATTTGTTCTCAATTGGATTATTGCCTCTCATTTTGTGTTTACTATAAGTTAGATATAATATTGTGCAATTATGGTATGTGAACATGAATCATGTTACATGAAAACTATATTTAATAATTGTTAATTTCTCTGTAAATACGAAACCTGCTTCGGTGGTTCCTATATTTCTAATACCATGTGTCTGGCACGCGGGAATATTTATACTTCGCTAAATGATATTGCAATTAAAAAAATAAAATATATCAAATACCTACTACAAATTGAAAATGTTTTGATAGAAATACTTACATATAGTTCAACGATACAACTTCTGCTTGTTTTAATTCAATTAATTAATACTATCAACGAGTAAAAAATAGCTAATATAATACGATGATTACAAAACAAGTAAGAATGTACTACAAATAGTACTATATGACCTATTCATAAAAACGAAAGATAGGATAATTGCAGCTTTTTTTTCAATGAAATGATAGACTTTATGTTAAAAACACAACTATTTACATACTAACTAGTACGAATCCCGTGCAATGTACGGGTAAGAGATATTCATTGATATTTATAAATTAAAAATGCTTATTAAATAATATTAATAAATTAGAAATATGAAATCAATATGTAATGCGCCCCTCCTCTCTATAAAAATAATTTCAAATGTTATATGAAAGATAATTTGTGCAAAAGTACATAAAATATATCTATTGAAATTAATACACAACTCATACGGTGCACATAACAGGTAATAAATTACATCATATTCATATCAAAATAAGTGTCAATTTATTTATTTTTCTTGGATACTAAATTAAATTTAAGAGGTCTGAATTTTGTGATTGAATGATTTGTGAAGTGAAACGTAATATGTTTTAAAAATTCATGTAAAACTGAGATAATATAAATATTCATGCACAAATTCGATTACCAAAGAGACAAATAGAGAACATAAAATTGTATTTTACCTATCTTAATCATATATATAGAAATAGAATTATAATTTATATTAACCATGACCTGAAATTGCACATTTTTATTATTTTAGAACAATTTTGTTGTTCCTTTTAAAACTATAATTATATTTGGATAGATTTTGTTGATAATATATAGCAATTAAGCATATTTAATTTCTTTATCCACTCTATATATAATTTCAGAACATGCTAAGTCTAAGTGACAAGTTTGCACGCTTCCGAAGTTGAAACGTCAAAATGATGTGCTTTGTAATTTAGTTTGTATTAATAATATTGCTTTGAAATCATGTTTGGTACTTGACATAAATAGTTTATTTCCTATTGGTAATTATGCATTTATATTTGTCATGTGTTCTCTTTCTCAAAATCAAATCTTACCATAAGAAACTCATATTATTTATTATCGTTTATTTCATTTATTAACTACCATAATTTATTTTTATCATACTTTAAAAGATAATAACATATTTATATGTAGCCCGTTCTTCATATATGATTTATCAAATTAATTATTTTAATACGATTTTCGATTTGACATCCATATCAAATATAGAAATTTAAAATTAATTCCAACTATCTTGACACATAAAAATTAAATTTATTTATCAATCCAAATTAAAAAAGACACATACAAGTGGAACTATATATTATCTTAATAAAAAATATTTATATAAATATACCTAAAATTTTTTTTATAGTCTTGAGAAAAGAAATATGCAAATGTTAAGTATAATTATAGAATGAAAAAGTCTACAATTTAGAAAAAAAGTCACTATGCAAATCAAATGATACAACTGTATTCTTAAAGTTAGTGTTTTAGGCAATGTGTATCTTGAGATATTAGAGACTGATATATGTGATTAGTATTACCATAATAAATCAGCCGCAATTACCTAAATTGTAACTTTTATCATAAAATGTTCAAATAATTTCCAGATTTAGTAAATAATATTTTTTGGGCGGGAAATAGTTACTATTTAAAAAATAATCAAACCTTTTTATATATATATAGATTACTATAACAGTCAGAAATGGCCGATTAATCGGCTACTAAGTTGAATTTAGAAGAAAATCTACTCTCTAAGGTAGTATATATAATTAGAAACCCATGACACAAAGAAAAAGTAAAAAAAAAAAATTACTAAAAATATACTCTCATATGTAGAGAATACAAATTCCATATTGAATAATTATAATAAATTAAACACAAAAAACAAACATAAACACACATAAAAAAAATACGAAAATAAAACATAAATGATGGCATGTAAAACATAACAAATCATAATAATAGCAATAACATGTATATAATATATACATGTTATTGAACAGCTTATATATATAATATATAAAAATGTTAGTACCCACACAGAATTAATGTTTGTGCTTCATTTGTTTCTTAAAATAATAAAGCATTCATCCAGGTTTTTATTTAATTCTTTAACTAATCATTATATATGGCTAAAATAATAATTAACAGTATTTGTTTTCAGTCATAATAAAAATAACATGAATTACCAAGGGTCATCAAATTTATAAAATTGTACAATTATTGCATTATGTATGTTGACATGCTGCACATGATCATGTTGTAAACGAGTTGTTTTATATTAAATTGAGTAATTTTATATATGTGGTATTAAAATGATAATTTTAATAAAATCAAGTGACAAAGTCTTCCAAAATAATTGAATCATATAATATTGTAATTAAAATCACAGCCTACTAGAGACAAACATAATAAGCTATGAGTCACTTATACGCGTACAAATATGCATACGAAGACAAGTCAAATTTTAAAATGTTAAATGAGGAAGACAGTATATTGGCATCTGATATATGATTATATTTGTTTGTATTACGAAAATATAATTAATTCAGTTGTACAAAAATAAAGTCACAAATGATAGCATATAAAATATAACAAAATATATATAATAATAGCAATGACCTGTCTAAAATCAATAATTAAAAATATTTTATTGTTCTAATTAAATAAGTTATATAATATACAAAAATGTGGTACCCACTTTGTGCTTCATTTGTTCCTCGAGAAATATATGCACAAATTGGAGCACTATAGAGTAAATACAAAACCTGGTTCGGTGGTTCCTATAATTTCTAATACCATGTGTCTGGTACGGGAATATTTATACTTCGTTAAAATGAGATTGCAACAAAAAGTATAAAATTCCTACTACAAATTCAATTGAAAAATATTTCAATAGAATTCAATGACATATATTTGAATAATATAACTTTTGATTGAATTAAATTTCCTTAGGAATTGTAGTTGGAATTTAATTGTTCCAACAATTTAATGTTGTAGAAATTTCTCTTAGAATGTGCGATTTTCGTTGAATTTATTTATTTATTTATTTTGGAAATGATTTCAGTTGTTGAAAAATTATTATTGGAATTGTCAAAATACAATAGAAATTCCAACAAAAAAACCAATTCCAAACCGAACAAAGCATTTCCATTTAAATTTCCTTAGAATTATCCAACAAAAGTGATCACAATGAAATTAGTGTTGGAAACTTGGAATTTTATTGAAACACATTGTGTTTATTAATCATATTACGTGCTTATAATGAGGACAAACTGACTTAATAAAATTAAAGTTAAATTGAGGAAATCTAGTTTCTTGACGCATAATGATTGTTCAAATTTTACGAGCTGTAATTTATGTGAAAATCTTCACTTTCGTGTCTTGCTTGGGGTGTGACTGTGTAGACAACATTGTTTTTAGAAAAAGTGATATTTTTTAGATTATGCATGAATGATAAAAATATAATAATTAAATTTGATATAATAGAAAAATTTATATAATTGTATAAACTCGATGATTGCAGCTATCATTGATAGGGTCGAACCCTCCAAATTTTTCATTGGAATATCGAAAAGGAATAATCAATACTAATAGTTATTATAGTTATAAATAAGTAGAGCTCAAGCTTAAGCAGAGTCGACTTAAACGAGCTCTGGCCCATATGATTTATTAATATTAACAAGCTTAAAGTAAAAAATACAAAAGAACTACATAAAAATCCCTATTCACGAACCTTAAAGATCCAATCCCAACTTGACTCATTAACTAAACGAGCTTTAAACAAGCTCGAGCTCAAATCATTTGATGAGTCGAGCTCAAGCCAAACCGAAGTGACATGCTCCTCATTTTGTTTAACAACTCTACTAATAGCTAAAGACATCTACATTTCCAAAATAAATTGTAGGGGGCAACACCCAAAAGCATCATGCTACATTGATATAAAGGATGATATAAACTTTGATATAATAACACGAATCACTATCTTATTACTTTGCACATCACTAACACCTTTAAAATCAACAAACATTATTGTCACTATATTATGTTAACGTAGGGTAATTCACACCAAGAAGAATAAGGAAAAGCATTACTTTTCGATAAGAAATATTTCAGCAATTCAAGAAAAACTCTTCCATTGTTCTTCCATTTCATAATTTCAAATCCATGGTGGGCTAAAAATACCTAAAATGACCACACCACACACCACACACCAAACAAAATATAATGACAAATGATTCTACAACCGATAACAATACTTATTAGTCTCTCAATAACATTAAGTGCCCTTCAAAGAGATTCAAAAATAAAACCCAAAGAAAAAAAAAATCCGATATTCCAGTCTCACCTCCGGAAAATATTACATGAACAAGTTCGGCCTAGATGCTTTGTAAGTGGTCTTGAGCTTTCTGGTAGGTGGCCTCACTTTCCTGAAAACCAAAGGGAACTTGATTTTCGAGTCGTGAAACTGCTTTGTGCTCTCCCTCTTGCAGAGCTTGGCTGGGATAGTGGCAGTCTTGATGATCTGTATGCAATGGTGGCGAACCCTATGACGTGAAGCCATTTCGGTGTACATTTGCTCAACGGCACCATTCAAGGTCGTGTCACGATATTCCTTGTACATGTTATGGTAGCCCGTTCGACTCTGATACCTCAGCCAGATACCATAGTTTTTTATGGTCGTCGGGTTTTTCTCAAAGATCTGTAAAGAGATAAAAAAGATAATTTTTTCTACTTCTCTTGTAGCGACTATAGCACAAGAGTTAACTAAAATTGATGAGTGTGGTGTAAATAGAAATGGTCATCCATGGTTTGTATAATCTAAATTGAAGTATATTTTTCTAATTCTCTTGTAGCAACTATAGCCACGACGGTTAACTTAAAATTGATGAAAATGGTGTAAACTGTAACACCACTCGGGCCCAAATAAGAGTGTCATCATGTAGGAAGAGGATATGACTTTAATATTATCATCTGGCAATGGGAATTACTAAAACGAAGTTCTAAAAACATCCGAGAGCATGTACCTCATTAATGGCGAGAACCTGGCCGTTGCTCTTCTTCACCTTCTTAAGCTTCCTCAGGAAGTACCTTTGTGCAATAAAGTCAACGGAAGACCGTCTCAGTGAAATTAGCAGTTTAGCAGCACAAAGACAAACATAAATAAAATCAACAGCTTTTCCCAAATAATTCTTACAAACTCGTCTTGAACAGAACTCTTGAAGCCAAAATGCAACTGATTATATTTTAAGCAGAAGCAGAATACTATGATAAACTCGTGTCAATTTTCACAAAAATAGAGATAACAATATACCGGCAGTTGACTCACACCATTGCTAATTGCAGTAAGTGAAGGGATCTTGAAAATTTCAAGATAAAGAGTTCTGAAGTATTTCGGATTTCTAATAAATATATTTTTACAAACACTATTTGTTCCTTGAAAATATATACGGATAGTTCAGCATTAATTGAAAACTAATTATGTTATACCAGCCTGCCATGGTCAAAAAGCAATCAAGTTCAGACCAAGTCCAACAAATTCTTTTGGTACTATTAATTACTGGAACAAATGAATTATCTAAGAAGCCAGAATGCTTTTAGCATATATATTATGGTAACACAGCTGCTTTGGAGTGAACATAAATGAATCCTAATACATAAACAAGCTATTAGCAGATAGGGATGGCAAACGCGGGCAAGACACGAAACAAGAACACAACACAAGAGCACAACACAAGTGCACAAATGACACAATGGGCACAACACGACATGAAAAGCACGAGACCCCTATTAGGGGATACTAATGCTGAGTTCAATTTAACAAAAAAGGAAGAAAAAAAAATAATCTGATATTATCTGTGGAAGAACAAAATGAAACTAAATCTCCAGACTAATATATATATATATATATATATATATATATATATATATTACAAGACAATCTCCTGAATAACACATCACCAAATCCACCGAAAACAAAAACGAGGATTGAAGATGGAAAACAGTACCAGAATTTGGACTTGGCGCGAACCTCATTGGTGGCCCAAAGCTTCATGCGGTAGATCTTTGGGTGCTCCTCCGCCTCCGTCGGCAGAGCTCTTCCGACCACCTGGTACTGATGGAACTGCACAAGGTACAACACGCATAACAAACGAACCAGACAAACACATTGGAGGAAGGAACATTCACAATAAACACATAAGCAATAACACGATCAAGCGTACCTTGTAAGTCACCATTTTCCCCTGGATTACGATTCGCAGCGTCTGTAATGGGGGGTGCTTGGTGAAAACTTGGGTTTTGTGATTAGGGTTTTGTAGAAGACTTGGGCTTTTATGACTATTGGGCCTGTGTAGACTTCATTTTATCATATATAAGGCCCAAAATCATTTTCTGTGGAAAATTATTGAAAAAATTCAATACAACTATTTTACTAATACCAACCCATGTAACAAATTGTATTATTTTACTTTATCGAATCAATTTTGGTGTGATAACCAACCGCACAAAACTGAAAACCGAACCTAGCAAAGACGTTGAGTTGTAGAAGTTGATGAAATGAGAAGTGTTTTCCCATACAGAGCTTACTTTAATGGATTGTGTATTTCTGTTTTCCAGTCAGCAATTTTTGGCAATTATTACATTTCTGTCTATCCCGATTACATTGGATTAAGGAAAATTACGAACTAGATGAAGGAACATCTACCTTTAATATAATTTGAAAACGTGTTGAGCCTAAATGGCTGGCTCGCACGTTTCGGAAGTTTACTTGGTAACATTACATGCTTCGGCTTTTGGTTCGGATAAAAATTAATACAATTATTATATTGCTTAATTCTCTTGCTTTCACAATACATTCCCGAATAAATAACTTAATATTATAATATATTATTTTGAGTTGATAGCATCTAAACCCATATTACACAAAATAATTTAAATTTATATAAAACATTATTATTTAGCTTGGATAGATTTTAATTTAATTCCAATCCAAAAATAATGAGGTTCGGATTATCATAAATATGTAGATTTATTTAACATAAGTAGTAAAAGCCACGTCCCTCGAGCCATACATAAGCCTATCTGGCACGCTTAATATGGGCCTGTTTGAAAAAATGGAGTCTTGGTTTTTCATTATCTCACGAGCAGCTTTTGCGGACGAGACAAGAATAACCGGTAAGCTCCCAAAATGAAGCAATAAGGGCTCGTGGCCATAACGTCGACAGAGACTGTAGCGAACGGTGAGGAGATTTCCCGAACATGAGGAGGTTTCCGATCACTGGAAGTCTTTTCGGAGATGGCGGCAAGTTTTTTCGACCACCGACAGTCCATTTCTGGGATATGATTATGAACAAGATGAAAAAGAAGGAAAAGAGAGGTATGATGATGAATTGTTCAAAGATCAACATCCTCTCTCATTGTTGATTTTGATGGTGAAAAGAAAATTTTGTTGGAATTTATGGGACCTCTACGCTAATGGTGATATGTCTAAACTTATAAACTCATGACCAGAGTCATGTCTAACCACAATGGACTTGCATATATAATAAATTTTGACAAATGTCAATAAATTAAATAGATTGTGGACATGTAGGAAAAATGTTAAGTTTACAACTATTAAATTAAAAAATTATTTCCAATGCACGATATAGTGTAACTACAATATTATCTACTTACCAAATATTAAAATTTTATAATATATAGTAAGAAAATTAATTAAATAATTAAATAATTTAAAATTGGTAAGAATAATTCTTTCTCTTCTCTTAGAAATTAATTATTATATCCACATCATCACAACATTTGTGATCATATAGTGCATTGGAGGATGAAAAATTATGACATTACTAAATATGTTAGATGTAGAATGTAATTTATCACAATGAGCGTTGGATATGCTCTAATTTTTTCTACGGAGACTTTGAGCATGTTTGTTTATGGAATTTTTCAAAAAAATTCCCACATTTTAACTCAACCATTTATTTTAACTAACTTTAACTCAACCTCACTATCATCAAAATTATCAATATAATTAAATAATATCAATCAATCATTCATACACATCACATCAACCTTAATTCACTATTCATCCACTCATATTATTTTAACTAACCATCACTTCAAATCTCTCCCTTCTACATTTAGATCAAATCTCTCTCCCTCCTACATTTAGATCAAATCTATCATTATATTAAAAGATTAACTATTTAACACTTTTAGTAAGTTTTTCCCGCCAAATATATTTAATGTCTCCTAAAAATAGAGCAGCATTAAATGTTGCCCTTAAATCATGGCAGTTGTTAATTTAGTTTGGAGAAAATCGTGGTAACTAAAACAAACAACATTAATTACGACTGATTTAATATTTAAATGGTAAACAAATATTACTTTTTTATAACTGATTTAAATTTACGTCTGTTTAAAATAAAAAACTATTTTTGTAATTTCAACAAATTTGTACTTTTTAATGTACGGCTGATTTAGAATTAAGAATTAACTTTTGTATTTTCACAAAAAATCGTATAAAGAAGTATGGCTGGAATAATAATAAAAAATTAATTTGTTAAACCATATTTTGCACTCATAGATACGAATTCTCATCAAATTAAAGATTTAAAATTGTGAAGAATGTATATATATGTGGACTGATTGAAGATATATGATCCCTTAAATTAAGGAATTTTTTCCGGTAAAAAAAAAAATATATAAACTTTAAATATAGATTTTATTAGTAGTGTATACCAAAGAATATTGTTACATTTAAAATTCCTATGAAGAAGAATTCTATTAATTTTCAAATTCAACATCTCATAAAAATAATATAATACACATTTACATTCTATGAAACAATATTTAAAACCCATCGTTCAACATGCATAAAATGTAAAATTACCTAACATGAATAATTTGAACTTTGTAAAATCAGTACACAATTTGCTCGGTATGTACTAATAGTCTAATAGCTAAGAGTTAATATTTGCTATGACATCTATTGGTTGGAAAGAATTCCATTTTGTATGGAATTCGAAATGAAAAAACATATTCTGAAAATCAAATCTGGTTTAGAGATCGATTTCTTAATGGCCTTAAATTATGCAAATATATTGTTTCAATTTTTAGGATTCTTTTTTATGATCTCAGTCTTTGCATTATATGAAATCTATACTTATATAAAAAGTCATCATATTTACTAGAAATAGTAGGCAGAAAAGCCAAAGGTAATTAATGCTTGCTGGAAATAGAATGATATTAATTATAAATTTGTTTTGGTATTTATAGGCTTGACATTAAAGATTTGTTATGGGATAAAAATCAGAACCGATTTTTTTACCTTTGCTAGAAAAGTCAAAGGTAAGTATGTATTTGTTTTATCTCATAGCATCGTTTTAGTTAAGAAAATCCCATCAAATCAGTTTTATATGCCAAGCCTATGAATAAAGATTTAATCGGTCAAAATTAAATCCTTATCTTACGTCACCCATAAATAAAGTAGATGTCAAGCCTAAATTGAAGGGTATAGTTGTCTATATAGTCATTGATTTACGTAAATACATCTAATGTTTAAAGTTTGTGTAGATTGAAAATTCCTTTTTATCTTTTTACAAAAAATCTTATTATTATTGTATGGAAAATCAAACTCATAATGTTGTCGAATACTATCTTATTGTATAATTTTCTTGCGTATTATAAAACTTTTATTGAATATTGTATTTTATAATATAGTATTCCACAAATAAATATATCCTGTGTCACGCACGGGCCACATACTATATATATCCCGTACATTTTTCTATATTCATATATATAATTATAAGTCTGGATACATAGCCTTAAAATTGTGCACCCGGTGCATTGCACGGGCTCTGTACTAGTCAATTTTAATTATTTTATCATAAATATTCTTTTAATATATGCAGTAACCATTAACCACTAACCATACCACATTTTTTAAAATTAACCAAACCAAACAAAAAAACCAAATTTTTTATAAACGCTCTTCGTTCCCATATGAATTCAGAACACAGACACAATTGTTTGCAAACATCACGCGCATAAACAGGTGTGCAAGAAGACCTTTCACCTCTTGAACTCTTCACTCCTACGAGAAAACGCTAATCACTTTCCCCTTACCAGTGATCTGGTTGATCTGTCTGGATTAATTTTTTCATTTTTTTCTGGGTTTGGTTAGATTGATTTGATTTCGCCGAAGATGGATGAGGAATACGATGTGATTGTTCTTGGTACGGGTCTCAAGGAATGCATCCTCAGTGGTCTGCTATCCGTCGATGGTCTTAAGGTCCCAGCTCAAATTTTTTTCCCTTTTTTTTTATTAGATTTTGTTATGTTATTGCGAGTCCAAACGGTTCTTTAATTATGGATCATTTGAGCTGCTTTGTTTATGATGGCTTTTGGTTTATGATGTATTCCTGTTATGTTGTTGCGAATCCAAATGGTTATTTGATTATGGTCATTTTGGACACTTTGTTTATGCCTAGCGGCTGATGACGTAGATTGACCTTAGATTCGTTTTGTTTTTGGTATTATGCAATTGATCATTTGGTCGTTCTTTGTTGTCGGGCTGGATTGAGCATTACATTTCTCTATATGATCTGCACGGTCATGAATGTTCTCCAGTTTTATGCCAAATCAACTAAGTTTTATGGATTTACGATCTGGCAATCATCTGGCGTTTGTCTAATTGTTATAAATCAGCTGAGTACAGCTGAAGTAAGCTTGATTTTTATTCAACTTGCTATGTTATGCCTTATGATAATGGTTTTCTGTTACACTGTTTCAATCACTTTGAAATGCGTTGAAACTGCTAAAAGTGATTGTTTTTTTAACAAATCCCATGTGAACTTTACTGGGTGGACTGTGAGCTTCAGATTTGGAATAGTATCTGCTATCACAATATTTTTACCTTTACTTACCAGCTGTGGCTTATTCCATTGCCTGAGTTTCTTTTGGAAAGAATGATATGGATGCATATTATATTATATGTATTGGGACTTTATCCCATTGGAGACCTTTGAAGAAAAAGATATTAGAGTACATATTATACAATGTCATGTCACATCTTAACAATTATTTAAGTTGAGTATTAGTTGTGGTTTCTGACCGGGGTCAGTTGAATTGTAAATCGAGCTGGGAACCCCTTTGGATCTTGTATCCTTTAACTTTGATAGGTGAACTTGGCCTGTCTATCAATCTAAGTTTTTTAAGCCTTCTATTTTGTGGCTGGGCCACATATATCTTGCTTGATGATTTATCTGGCTCGTTTGTTTTGAGAAGGTATCGTAAAAGTCAAATTGTGTATGAAATCAGAAGTCAAATTTTTATTGTTTTTGTAAATCAGGATGTACAGTGAATTCACCTATTTTGAATTTTTGATTACCTCTCCATATTTGATTTGTTACCCATCTCAGTTTTCTCGTTCTGGTTAGTTCTTGGCTCTTTAAAAACACCCTTTTGTGTATCAGTGCCTTATTTTCATCGTGTTATATTAACTTAATAGGTTCTGCATATGGATCGCAATGACTATTATGGTGGGGAGTCAACGTCACTCAATCTTGTTCAGGTATTCCTTCATTTTAACTCGAAAGAGATATCCAGTGATCACACTCTTTCTTATGTTGTATCTTATATAGATTGTTTTAAATCACTCAGATGTGGAAGAGGTTTAGAGGAAGTGATCAACCTCCAGCTCATTTGGGTTCTAGTAGAGATTATAATGTCGACATGGTCCCTAAGGTTTTTACTATTCTTAAGCTAATGTATATGCTTTAGAAAATTCCGCTTGTTGGTTGCCTATTGATGATGCTATTAAAATTCATCACAGTACATTATGGCAAACGGTGCTCTTGTGCGGGTCCTCATTCATACTGATGTTACAAAGTACTTGTATTTCAAAGCTGTTGATGGCAGCTTTGTGTACAACAAAGGAAAGGTATTGCACATGTTTTCGATGTACTTTTGTTTGGAGATATATCGGCCTTTTCCAGCGTTATTGTACGTAGTGGTATGTGTTTCACAAAATTTATTGATATATTCAGAATCTTGTAAATATTTATTTATGTACCAGATTCACAAGGTGCCTGCGACTGACATGGAGGCCCTCAAATCTCCTCTCATGGGAATCTTTGAAAAGCGACGTGCCCGAAAATTTTTCATTTATGTCCAAGATTACAATGAAAGTGATCCTAAAACACACGAAGGAATGGATTTGACAAGAGTTACAACTAGAGAACTCATTTCGTATGTCCTGTAGAACTTTTTCCTTCTTCTATGTTTCAAAACAACTGGTATTTTATGCATTATATCTGCTTTGTGCTCTTAGAAAATGTGTTCTATTTCATCAGTATAAGCATGTCTGTGAGTTGGGGGCTTGTGGTTCTCACCCTTCTAAGCATAATTGTGGAAGAATAGTTGCTCTCAGTTTCTATTTAGAATTTGAGTTTTATAAAAGGTAGACTGTTTTACATATATGCTTTTAGGCTAATGCCTGCTTGAAGGCGATGTTTCTTGGCCAGGAAAATTAACTAGGAGAAGAACACTTGTTTTTAACTTGAAATATCTGATGCAGTGCTGCTAGCCAACATATCTTTCTGTTTTCTGAAATGAACTTGCAGTTAAGTATCCCTATCCTTGTTGATAATCATAAGTACAGCTATGTACATGATGTACTGTTCTCTTGAATTTGTTATATTCTTAGAAATTGACATGCTTGTTTCATTTAGAATGTGCAGAACGACCTCTGTAATGAATTTTTTCCATCCTAGAAGAAAGAATGATGACATAACCCGCCATTGAGCTTAGCCATCTTTAACCCCCTAAAGAAGCAAAATATTTTGCTTCGGCTTTTGTTTGCATGCATATATTAGAGGGATCTGTTTGTTACCTGCGAGCCTAATAAATTCCTCAAACATTTTGAAACCCCTACAGGAAGTATGGTCTTGATGACAACACTGTGGATTTTATTGGTCATGCGTTGGCTCTTCACCGAGATGACCGTTACTTAAATGAACCTGCATTGGACACTGTTAAAAGGATGAAAGTAACTATCTGCCTTCTGAAATCAAGTTTCATGTCATGATGTCTATTTTTTTTTTTTTTATAGATTATGTCGTACGTGAATCACGCTCATTAATATGCTCTTTTGAATGATAGCTTTATGCAGAGTCTTTAGCACGTTTTGCTGGAGGGTCCCCTTATATCTACCCTTTGTATGGCCTTGGAGAGCTTCCTCAAGTCTGCATCTCTTCCTTATCTGTGCAGCTGTCATATTGTTATTGTTATTATTATTATTATTTGAACCGTTTGTTCAATGATTTACTTAATATTTTGCCCCTCTCTTGCCTACACCCTCCAAAAAAATAGATGTGAAAGGTTCTCATTAACATTGTACCTTTGTTTCCTACAGGCATTTGCCCGCCTTAGTGCTGTGTATGGTGGTACCTACATGTTGAATAAGCCCGATTGCAAGGTTGGTGCCTCTTTTTCCTTTGCCCTGATACAACAATCACCCACTCCCCACACTTGGTACCTACACCCTTATAATACTTTTCCACCCTGTTTGAAAATAAAATGGAAGAGGAAAAAACTAAGGGTTTTAGCTATGATGATGTAATGCAAGTTCGTTGATAGTCGTTTTGCTTTATGTCTGTGTATGCGCAGAAACATTTCTCATCACCTGAATATTCTTCTTAATGTCTTGAGATCATTCAATAACCGTGTTCATGTATTAGTAATTTTGTCGAAAAAATGCACATGGTAATGGTTTTGATTTGTAAGGGGACCGTGCTCAAGAGCGAGGAAATGTAGCTCGTACGGTCAAATTGATAGAGTAAATTGGCATATTGTGAGAGAGAAAACTGTTATAAGTTAATTTTTTCTTTGTCAGTCAACTTTAATTTTTCACTTTTCAGATATGTATCTTCACAGGTCCTAAATAGCGCGAGTACACAGCTTTCACCTCAGCATTTGATAGTTGTCTTTGTAATTGTTATATTGTGTCCTTTCTGCCCTTTTTTTTTTCCTTCTGCCGTAAATGTTTCGTTTGTGCTCTGACATGGAGTTATCAAATTTCAGGTAGAGTTTGATGATGAAGGCAAGGTCTGTGGAGTTACATCGGAAGGTGAAACAGCAAAATGCAAGAAAGTGGTGTGTGATCCTTCATACCTTGCGAACAAGGTATTTTTTCTTTCCTCGTTTTGAAATGTTACTCTCTTCTATAATCTACCTCATATTCGAATCATATGTTCTTAAACACACACACACACACACACACACATGTATGGTATATGTCATTGATGGTGTTAGTTAAACCAGGCACATTATCGTTCTGATAAAATGAATGGAGCTTTGTTCCAAATCTCTCTTTTGGATTTTAGCGTACAAATGAGATAAACAACAGCAGGATATTTGTTACAGGTGAGGAAGGTCGGGAAAGTTGCCCGAGCTATTGCTATCATGAGCCACCCAATTCCAAATACCAATGATTCTCATTCAGCTCAAGTTATTCTACCTCAGAAGCAGTTGGGCCGCAAATCGGACATGTAAGCAACTTGACTGACATTGTTATATTGCTTGATGATTTAGAAGATATTAAAAATATTTGTAATGTAAATCTTTCAATGTTGTAGTGTAGGATGAGCAATTTAGGGTGTGATTGGATATAAATTCAATTAAAAAAAACCTATGAAAACTCAAATTTAACTTAACCCTACTATCATCAATATTATCAATATAATTAAATAATATTAACCAATCATTCTTACACATCACATAAACTTTAATTCATTATTCACTCACTCACATAATTTTAACTAACCATCAGTGCACATCATCTCTCCTACTTTTACATCAAATCAACTTTATTATTTTAATTTAAACTTAAATTCCCACTAACAACTAAGCATACCACCTTTTTCAAAATTAACTATGGTTAACAAAAAAACTAATCAAATCCATATCCAATCACATTGTGCGGAAGTGAATTTTGAGATTGCTTACTAGAAGTGACTTCCTCTGTACTTCTTTTATAGAGTAGTTTAACTTCTATTTAGTACTCTGTAAGCAACAGTATGGTCTTAACTTAACTGATCAGTTTATGATTGATGTTATTTTACTGATAGCAGGTAGTGTTTTCAAATTACACGACTATGAATTTCAAGATTTGCAACGGGAAAAATTTCCCCAACTTTTGACGTGATTCATTGGGTTCTGTAGGTATTTGTTCTGTTGTTCCTATTCTCACAATGTTGCGCCCAAAGGAAAGTTCATTGCCTTTGTCTCGACTGAGGCTGAGACCGATCACCCGGAGACTGAACTGAAGCCAGGTATTGATCTTCTTGGACAGGTGGATGAGATTTTCTTCGAGACTTATGACAGATATGAACCGGTTAACGAGCCTTCTCTGGACAATTGCTTTATATCGACAGTAAGTTTCTCTAAAAAATGGCATTCTGAATAATTGTGTTGATAATCATTTACTCTATTATTAGTACATTTACCTTCCTAACTCTCTATTTTACAGAGTTATGATGCCACCACTCACTTTGAGTCGACAGTTGTGGATGTGCTGAATATGTATACCCAAATAACTGGAAAGGTAAGAAAGATGCTAATATATCATATATTCGGAAAGATAGTGAAGTTCATAATTTAATCTTGCATCCTCTTGATTAATGTCCTTTGCACGTTTTTTCGATTTTTTTTTCCAGGTTCTTGATCTTAATGTGGATTTAAGTGCTGCAAGTGCTGCTGAGGAATGAGAGAAGTTTGCTGGTTGCTGTTTGACTTGTCTGTGTTTCTTTTATTTTATCCTCTGCTCCAATAATGAGGATGAGAATTTCACAGGACATGTAAAACTGATAAGCCGACTTTTACGTGCATCTTTGATGGTTCTTGTTGTGTTTTAACTTTGATATTTTTTCTTTGAAGATATTTTTTTTTCTTTTGTTGGTTGTTTAGTGTTTGATATTTGTCCTGGGGACATTAAATCTAATTTATGATATATGATGATATTTATGGCTTTTTCAAATCTTGGAGTTAGATTGGCATGGTGATTGAACCGAGTGACTTGAAAACAATATTTAGCAAGTGAAGTAAAATGTTTAGCGGGACGATTAAGTTAGTTGGTCATACTTTTTAACAAAAATGAATAGAAATAAGTGATTGGAAGATGCGGTTAATTAATAGGAACAAGTGATGGAAAGATTCAATGGTTGAAATTCGATGAAAAATTTGATGGAAACTTTGATGAATGCACTAAGAGGTGAATTTGGTCGAAAATTTGGTGATGGGAAATTTGGTCGAAAATTTGATGGAAAATTTGGTGACCTATTGGTGATAGAAATATCGATGGAAAGTTTGGTGAAAAATTCAATGGTGGAAATTCGATGATTGCACTAAAAGATAACTTTGATGAAAAATTTGGTGACCTACTAGCGATCAATGATCAAAAAATCAATGGAAAGTATCGATGGACAGTTTGGTAAAAAATTTGATGATTATACTAAAACGTAAACTGGATGGAAAATTTGGTGAAAAATTCAATGATAGGTTGATCTTAGTTGAAATCTACGTGATATATTTACATTATAGTTAGTCAGAAATTAATTAATTCACAAACCATAATCTTACCAAAACAAGTAAGGTTATGCATGCACGACGCTAATCACTAAGGCCTCGTTTACTAGAGGTGATAGAATGGGACAAGGTTGGTTAACCAACCTTATCATTCCTTTACTAGGTTGGTTAGGGATTAGATATAGTTGATGTGTTGATTGTGTGGCATGTGGGTCCCATCTCATTAAACGGACGTGTGAGGTTAATTCTGTCCGGCCATTTTGGGCGAATAAATTTATACCATATTTTGTTTCCAATTTTGTCCAAAAATTAGGCTGTAAAATGTCTATTCTACCCCTCAATGTCATGAAAATTACGGAAATAGGAATTATAAAACTCATCATTGTCGGAAAATTGGACAGATGCTCGTCGTCGTTTGCCCGAGCTCCCGTAATTTCACCTTCTTCTTCTTCTTCGTGTATTTTTTTTTTTTATTTTTTTATTTTTTTATTTTTTCGACCCTATTCTAACCTACCTAGAGTGGCAGGTGTCAATTTAATCGGGGTGGTCGACGGATCTCGATTAACAAATCCGCAACGAATTCACTGTTGGATGTAATAGATCTGCAAAATTGGAGTTGCGATTTTTTTTTTTAAAAGAAATTTCCCATCTTGTTAATCTACCTCAGTTCAAAAGAAGATAAATGCTCATCCAAAGCCGATGGAATGGAAGATCCCAAAGCAACAGAAATTCATTCAAACCTAACGGAACTTGCATAATTCCACCGTCTTGAAGCGAAAGATTTCATCATTGCTCGGATTGGTGGAGAGTAAATTGAAATGGAGAAATACTTACGAGTTGTCTGAAAATGACGAATCGCCGGCTCTATGGCCGTAATAACCTCCTCAATTTTTGCTCCACGAATGCTTCGAACGAGGGGTCGAATTTTAGGGCAGAACTCTGTGTTTTTTTTCTCGATTTACTGTGCAAATGGCCTGAAAACGAAGGTATAGATGGAAGCGTACTTTTGGAATTATTTTTTTGCCTAAATATTTATATCATGTATGGTAAATAGAGGATTAGATAAGCACAAGTATGCATCATGTCTAGTAATTAGTGGACAAAATCTGATGTGGCAAGTGGAGGGATTATTGTGTCCAATCCCTACATATCCCAATCATTTTTAGTAAAAGAGGCCTAACAGTTTTAATTAGGCTACTCTAATCCCTATTCCCTACATCATTAGTCACCTACACAACATCATTTTTATTTTTACTCAAGAAAATATTTAATAAAAATTTGAGGAATTTGCACCCCTTACTTTAAGTTATGATATATATTGCACTTATACATCTATTATAAGCTTATTTATAAATCTACTAAATTATGCATAAAAAATTATCCAAACAAATTAAAGTAAGTGTTTTAATTAATTGAAATTAATTATTCACTTACCAAAAAAAGCGGAACCAACTTAATTCTCTCTCTCACTATGCTATCTTTTCTCTCTCTGCGCAAAACCAGCACCGCCCCATGTTCACCTCTCTCAATTCAAAAAAACCCTCTTCAATGGCCAAGACGAAACTACCAAATTCGGCTCGAGAAAAGCAGAAAAACGGTGCCGACGAAACACCACAAAATATAGTTTGGTATATGTGTAGTATATCATTCATAATACATTTTATGAAGAAAGGACAATCTCAATTATGTTTTTATGAACTTTCTGATGGACAAACATTAGTTGAACTTATATTATGGTATATCTAACTTATATTCTGTTATATTTATGGTATATTAGTGGTACTTTCTGGTATGTTCTGGTATATTCTGATGGACATTTTAGTGTTTTTTTATTTTTTTCTTTTTCCTCCTGTTTTTTATGTTTTGGCATATGTGTGGTATATTTGTTGGTATATGTGATCCTCGGAAAACAAAAATCTCCTTGGATGGTCATGAAAGCATAAGGCACGTAGTAGAAAAGATAGTGGTATATTTTCAGTAGCAGTTATGTATTTTTTTCATGAAAATGTAATATCTTCTCCAGCGGTAATCATTCATGACCCGTAACTGTTTTTAGGCATGAATATAATTACTTTTTATCTCTTAGGTATATACACAAATTTATTGGCTTGAATGGTAATGTTGCAATTACTTAAACAACGGTAAGCATACATAAAAATTTTCTGAAAAATTTCTACTACTGTAGAGCCGTTAAAATGAACTTAAACCCGTGGCCCGGAAGCAGGCCTGAACAGCCCACAAATGGGCGGGCTAGCCCGTCAATTATTGAAAAAAAAAGAAAGAGAAAACTACTTGCCATAAAACCGACTTAAAGTTTATTGCCCTAACGAGATCTTTTTTCTTATTTCAATTATCAGTTTTTGATTTCATATTTAAAACCTAATTAATTATCCATTTTTCATAAGACCAAGTTTATACAATCGCACATCAATTTCATCTTTTGTTAATTTTTCTTTCATCAACACCAACCTGCCTCAACTCTCTCTCTCTCTCTCTCTCTCTCTCTCATCATCGCACAGCCGACGACAGTGCCAACACCCTAAGATCTGATGCGATGGAGGCAGCCAACGGTACTAAGTCCAGGAGAGCATCTCCACCTTCGACGACGACGCCAGCGGAGGGTGTGCATCTCAGCGCCATCAAACCGCCACCAACGTCACCCTCGTTTCGAGATCCTCTCCCTTGTCGGCTCCCTTTCCCACCGTCTGCACTGTCCGCCGCCTCGAGGCTCAGCATATAACTCGTCGGGGAGCAGGAACAACTAGTCGGAAAGGTGTGGTTTACTAAATTCTCTTAATCCAAATGTGTGGTTAACTGGTCTAGGGTTTAACTAATTTTGATTTTCTTTTTTTTTTTAATTTTTTGTTTTTGTTTTTGTTTTGGGGGTTTCATTGATTGATACGTGAATTGCATATATGTGAATTGTTGGATTGTTCTGTTTCTAATGTTACTGAATTTCCCTTTGTTTGATCCACAATGCACAGGAACTCGCCACTGGCGAGTGTATTCTCCCTTTAGGCTGCATTTGAATTCAGTAAACAAATAAAAAAGAATTGTTATCAAATTTGTCATTATTATCTTAATAAGCTATATATAAACTTGATGTAAACATGGGAGAAATATGTTTGAACATTCTGTTTCCATCCAGGCTTCATAATTCTTGTTATTGTGGCTAGTTTGTGGATATTCTGTCATCACCGCGCAAGACATCCAGACAGCCACAAACAATTACGACTGCAATAATAGGCTCTACAGGGAAGTCAGTGCAAGTGTCACTTACAAAGGAACATTAAAAAGCAGTCCAGGAAGAATAGAGATGCAAAACTCACCGGGCTCGGTGGGCTGTTTGAGCCATGAGATACAGACAGAACAGGGTGACGTCTATCGTTTGCAGTGGTGCTAGCGGAGCTATTGACGAGGGGACGACTTGGTAAGGATCTTGGACAGTCCTTTGGAGGCGTGTGGTGAGGTTGAGGTGCTGATGCAAGTTGAAAATCTTGCCGAGAAGTGCTTAGCGTGCTCGTCAATGTAAGCCGAGTGTGAAGGAAGTCGCATTTGAGTTGGACTGCTTGAGTAGGGATTTTTGATCGGGAGGTACATGTTCGAGTTTCAATCTTCAGGGGGCCGACCATGCTTAAGGCAGTGAAACGATATAAGAGTTCTAATGGGGTTTGTGTATTGGTATGTCATATATTTGTGTTTTGAACATTTGAGAGTTAGATTGATGTTTATTAATGGTTAGATTATGATTATTAATTGTTCTTTTTTTTGTCTTATTTATAGTTTATATTTAGTTTTATTTTGGTTTTTTTGTCAATTTGGTTTTCATGATTTTGTACAAAAATAGATAATAAACTTAAGATAAACCATTATATTTAGTTTTATCTTGTATATGTTTATTTATTTTATTTTTTTTGTCAAATTATTTTTTGTGATTTAGTAAAAGAATAGATAATAAACTTGAGAAAAACCAAAAGTTTCAAGTTACAGAAATAATGTAACAAACTTAAGGTAAACTACAAATAAATTGAAAATAAACCCTATATAATTTTTTCAAGTATAATAAACTGTTTTTTTCTTGTATAATAAACTGAAAATAAACTATATATAAATTTAAATTTATAGTTTGAATTCTTGTGATGTTTTATAAACCTATAATAAGTTTTAATACAAAGAAATGGTAATAACGCTTTAAACACAAAAAAGTGGAAAGCCTATGACAAGGTTATTGTCTTTAAGGTGTTTGTGTTTTTGTATTTTGAAGATGTTTACTGATGGTTTGTTTGTTTGTTTTTCTTTTTTTTTCTTATATTAAGTCTTATTTTTCATATGTTTTGTTTGTCAATTTGTTTTGAGTGATATAGTTAAAAAAAATAGATAATAAACTTAAGATAAACTAAAGATAAACTTAAGATATAGTAATAATAAACTTAAAATAAACTAAACATAAACTTAAGATATAGTAAAAAAAATAGATAATAAGCCCTCCTCAACACAAGCCACTACAAACACACACAGACAAATCCAAAAATAAGAACACCAACAAACGATGCAAATTAGCCCTCCACAACAACCGGTAAAAGGATCCAAAACACCCCCGAGCCAGACACCCGACAACGAAACCAAGAAAGTACGACCACACCCAAGAAGTAGACGACGAAACTCCCTTCTCCAAGACGGAGCTAGCTGACAACATCCACAACATCCAAGTTCAGTCCCTCTCCTAAACGGGTCCACATCCGAAAGCACACAGGACCCCGCACCACCCATTCCACCAATACCCAGCTGCCGAAGCCGGAGAAGCTCTGAACAGCCGGACCCCTTGCCGACGCCCAACTTCAGAGACACCAGGCGAGGAGCAGAAGGAAGAGAGGCGATGGCCCAAGCGCCGACCACCAACCTCAGCAGACGTCGCCGGCAACCTCCACCCCGCCGCCGAATCTCGAAGCATTCCCGCGACAGACATTCTCAATAGGAAGAAGCTCTGGCGCCGGAAGAGAATCGAGATAAGACAAAGAGGGGAGAGATTGCCCTGCTGCCCAGGCCATCGTGGCGGATTGAAACCCCTGGCTGAAGAGAAGGCCGGCGGAGATGAGGCGTGCGACGGGCTAGGTTTTTTGCTACAGTAAGGGATG